ACGCCATTTTAGTTTCACTTTTCCTCATTCCTCCACACGTACGGGGAGAAACTTGTTATAGAAGTTAAAGTAAAGTCAAAAATAAAAAGCAAGCTTCCAAAGTTGGTTCGTCTGCTTACAAGTAAACTCACAATTAACTTCAAGTTGCAGCAGTGGCGGCGGCTTCTTGCTTCGCCGAAGCGAAGGCGTCCTGGATCGCGGAGAATCCTCGGGGCTCCGGAGGGGTTCTCGCCTACATCGTCCATATAGGACGACTCGGGAACTCAACTCCTACCCCGGGCAGCTCACCTATCCCCTTATGCCCAGGGGAAAGGTATCAAGCCGTTTGACAGCTGGTGCTGGCTGTCAAACCGGCTTTTACGCAAAACAGGCGGGAGGCAGCAAACAGCTGCGACCAGCGAAATCGCCTGCCACCGGAAGTCATGACATGCACTTTCTATAATTTATAATGGCTTAAACACCAAAATAAAACCCTATCACTATGCACGTATTAGGGGAAAGGACCTATTTTGAAGAAAATTGTTTGTAAAAATTATTTTTCTAATAATATATTAGAATAAATATGCACTCAAATCCATTCATATTTTATTACATAATTTAATAAATCAATGGATGTGCAAAGTAATGAACTATTTCTCATCTTGACCCCAAACAAATAATTATAGTTATAAGTCAGGAACCACTTCTCATCTTGACCCATTTTGTGACATCATTAATATTCTAAATTTTTAACAAGTTGCTCTGATATTTGATGGCATGTCATTAAATTTTGAATTTCTATGAAAATTCTCTTGAGGTTTTAGTATTGTTTTATGACATTATAAAACATTTCAAATTTTTCACATGAAAGCTGTAATATTTGGCCAATAAATCACTAGAGTAGCTACCTAATGAGATTTTTGACAATTTAAACAAATATTTTATTTACTTTACCATGGATGGCTGACTTGGGAGGCTGTTATACATCTAGCTAGGTGGCATTTTGTTGCTGATACTATTGATTTGAAAAAGGACTGAGGCAAAATTAAGATTTGAAATAATAAATTTGGAACTAAATTGGACAGTTTAATCAATCCATAATGGATTCATTTCAACTGATTTTAGACATGGTTCATTAAAAAAATATTTTGATTGATCTAATGGATGACCATTTCTAAAATAAGAGATCCTTTTGTGTCTTTTCATGTTATTTCTAAACCTATTCTTGATGTGCATTCTGCCTTTCAGATGGAGGGTTTTGTACAGAGGTTTTGCTCCAACTTGAAGGATTTATTCCAAAAAGGAATGTAAAACTCACTTTTCATGACTGTGATTTAAAATATATGCAAATCTAAGATATTAGTTCCAGACCAGTAACTTATAAATTAAATAAATTAATAATTTGTGCAAAATATGTATTATTTACTTAACTACTTACAAGAATTTTTATATTGCCCAGACTTCAATATACCAGTTAACACAGAAGTAAATGGCATATATTTGTGGTTTTTATCTGGTAGAGTTTTAAATGCTGTAATTAACCTGGAGTCAACTATGTGTTAGTTGGGCAGCTATATACATTTGTTTAATAAATAATTATTTTTGTAGATTACAGTCACTATAAAATGTCATTTAAAGTAGAAATATTGAACAAGCATGTTTATATATTCTCATTTTTTAATTTTAGTTTTTTTTAGTTTTTACTTTTTTAGATTTCTATTTAATATGCTCTTTAAAAAGCAATAGAAAAAAAGACATACCTATCTTCCTACAAAATACTAGCAGAGTAACCTAGCCTTGGAACAGATAGTATCTTTTGGAAGATAAGATTTTAACAGTCTAATATTTGACCATAAAAGGAAGCAAAGGTAGATTATTCTGCACCTTCATTTTCTTTTGTTGAATTTACATTTGGCGGAAATTCAGCTATATTAAAATATCTATTTATATTCTTCAGTCAACAATTTAAATCAATCTTAATCAAGAATGTACATAAATTGTTGGTTTACTTTTCATGTTTAAACAAGCCTAGGTGTTCATAAATCTGATTTCACATACGGATGTTGATCAGCTGGTTCGGTGGCAGTATTTTGCAAAAGTTGGATTATTTGTAAATTTATAGATGGAGAAGAAAATTAAGAATATATGACAGTAAGACCAAGTATTGTTGGAGTACAGTCTAATCAGTCCCGAGAGTCCAATCATATTCTGACCTCTTGCATAGGCAATGTTTTTCAATATCTGATAGTCCCCTGTGCATAATTTATAATGATTATTATAAATTCCATTAACTTCTACCAGATCTGGATTGCAAAAGTTCAAAATGGCACAAGATGACAGTAAAGAGATAGAGAAGATTCCATTGCTAATATTTTACACAGATTTTTGCAGTCCAGGCCTGGAAACTGTAATCCACCTAAAGTATATATAAAACTGTAATTCTTATTGCAACTAAATTGAGATACGAATTGAGATACCAAAAATGCAAACATTGCATAAAATTTCCTAATGCACTTAGACAGTTAGTATATTTCAAACTTTGTTATTTGAAAACTAATTATAATAGTAAGATTAATGTTAAAATGCTAGCATGCTAGAAACAGAATACTAGGGTCTAGCATCAAATTTATTTACAAAGATGCCCTTGGGCCCCATGTGGGCATTATAAGAAAATTAGAATATTAAAGTGATCAAAGCTTTGATCCCATTTGCACAGGAAAAATATAGTGATAAATTAAGCTAGTAAGAAAAGGAGCATTCTGGGAGAAAAGGAAGGAGCAACTTTACCAGCTGCTATTGGTAATTCAGCATTTTGTGATTTGTCTCAAAAGATTTCTAAAATATTTATATAGAGGATTATTCTAACCTATGGTAGAAGTCATTCTGTGAAAGGGATCACAATATTCTCTCAAAAATTCAAATATTCCTCTCAGCCATAAGGGTATAAAATTGTTAAAGCTGGAAACATTTTTACAAATAGTATATTTCATATAATGCTTTTCTTCTATCTCCTAGGGATTGTGGAAGAAGTAGGCATCATAATCTCTGTGAATGATTTGTAATTTTTTAATCTCATTTGTAACCTAATGCAAATTTGAGGCATATTATGATTTAGCAATAGCAACAGCCCTTAGACTTATATACCACTTCACAGTGCTTTACAGCTCTCTCTAAGTGGTATACAGAGTCAGCATATTGCCCCCAACAATCTGGATCCTCATTTTACCAACCTTGAAAGGATGGAAGGCTCAGTCAACCTTTATTTATTTATGAATAATTATACTATGTGATTACCACCCATTTATTTCTGAGTGTTAAATATATGGAAAAAAATCTTAGTGTAATGTAAATCTGATGATTACTCCTATACTATAGACTAGACTATAATATTCTGACCAATGGGAATATATAACCTATAAAAATATTAATAAATATTATGTGTACGCATATAATAATTACTGGACAATTTGTATTTTATATTTGTATTTCCCATGTATCTGCATTGTGCACACTAGGTTACTTACATGAGCTGTGCAATTCCTCTCAGTGCAGTTAGGCCACTGAAGTCCCCATCCAATGAAAAGCAAAGAGACATTCTCACAGATGATCTAATTGTAGGATTGCCTGTAACCTCCCCTTCTTGATTTGAACAGCAGAGGATACAATTTGTACTTACCTATACATTCCAAGGCTGCATTCCATTTCTACGTCACATTACAGTGTGACCATGCTTTTGAAAAAGACAGAGAAAAATGTTTTTATATAGGAATAGGCAATGTAGCATAAATTAAGTATAGTTGCTTTCCTCTTTTTCACAGCTTGCCGGTCAGGATTCTATAAAGCATTTGCTGGAAATATAAAGTGTTCCAAGTGTCCTCCACACAGCCAAACCTTCGTGGAAGCAACATCTGTATGCCAGTGTGAAAAAGGTTACTTCCGAGCTGATAAAGATCCACCAACTATGGCATGTACCCGTAAGTTTAATTGATCCTGGTGTTTAAAATTCTTCACTTATCCTTCTTATTATCTTAATGGATAAAAACAGCATTTGTTTTTGCTAATCAAAAATGCAAATTAATTTTTCCTTTAGTCCTAAGACGCTTATATATTGAAAAAGGATTCCTCAGTCTTGTGTATCATCAAAACAACAGCACACTTAGTTTCACTGCACCAACTCCATTATTAATAGAATAATTACACTTTTAGGAACATTTTGGTAATAACTAGTGTTTATTTTTCTATATGTGATTCTGTGTGTATATATGAATTGATTATGTGGCATCAAGTCAGTGTGAACTCAGCAATACATGGATAAATCTTCTCAAGGATCCAGGACTTAAACTGCAAGGTGTGTAAGAGTACATTTTTATCTTTTCCTTTCCCTGTACAATCTGGGAGAGTGGATGAATAAGATTATAGGCACATCCTTGACAATGTTGCTGTTCTTTCTGAGATATTTATTTGATTCCTTTAATTATATTAAGATTCTTAGGTGAGACCAACTTATCTGTCTAGGAAGTGGATATCATATACTTTTCCTTTAAATGCAATAATAAACATTCACTATGTGTTAGATCTGGAATATAATGCATGCATAATTTAAAATCATCTGTGCTTGCCTAAACAAAATATATAACATAAGGAAATTCCAGAGTGTATTACTCACAGATGTCTGCAAAAAAGGATATGACTGCCAGTTTTTTTCCCCCAATGTGACATATAATCTATGTATAATGTATAAATTATAACAAAGCAATCAGGCCACATTCATAAAAATCCCAATGACACATAATTTAGCAGAATCTGTGGATTATAATTAATTGTCTATCTTTGTTCCAAGTTCTAAATCTTAGTAAATGATTCACTGCATGTCATTACAGCTTAATATTTGCATGAAATCACAGTTTAGTTGGCATAATTTAATGGCAATTAAAAACCTATTTAATCGTCATGCAAATTGGCACGAGGGCCCTTGAGTATGAAGGGTGTCTATTTCTTAAGAATCTGCACACTGTCATTTATATACTTTTAAACACTCCTACCACAATTGATAACAATTTCCTGTTCACAGCAGTACAAATGGACAATAAATCATATTTTTGTTATAAACGAAGTCTAAAATCCTCTGTACATTGATTAACTATGAAAATCATTAGCAAATTGTAATTTTAAAAAAATAACGGGCATAATTTCTTCAAATGATATTTATACAGAATTAACAAAGATTGTGGTGGCATCATAGTGATTAACAAATTTATTATTTGTTACATTTCCATGGATTACAATTTATTTCATCTATACAGTTTATTATATCCTGAATTACAAATAAATATCCATATGCCTTAGTGGAGGTATTAGAGAAATGACACAGAAAATATTGGCAATGCAATTATTATTTGTGGGCATACAGAATTTTATGGCCAGTTGGTATAGCCAGTAAAAAGTTTTTTTTTTAAAAAAATTGTTTTTGTTAACAATAACTTCAAAATAGTGACAGTATGTTTCCCTTTAGGTTTTGAATACTTCTTATCATAAATGTCACATTTACTCAATTTATTATTCTAGAACAAAACAAATAGGATCCATGATGGTTTGAAGCATATTAATACTACAGTTCCATGATTTTTTAAAACAGATGAGAAATCCACTGACATTTTTATGTTAATAATTTGATTTTGGTTCTCTTAAATAAATGCAATAATATAAAATGCATATGCATATGCATCCTGAAACCCATATTTTTCAATTTGATCCTTTGTTACAGTTCACAAATAAAAAATAATCACAGCAAAATGCTCTTTACCTATGAGGAAAAGATTCATGAAAGTATGAACATATAACATATGAATAATAAAATAAATTCATATTTACTTTTTCTGTCATTTTTTTTAAAACTTGTATAATTATGAGTGACAACTGTAAAGTAGTTACAAAAGGCTTCAAAACTATCAATCCTTTTGTCAAATCTCAGAACAGTCAATCCATATTTTATACCTACTTTATCAGCTGCTAGATTCTGTAAGCATATCTTGAATGTGTTCTGAATTTGGATACAACTTTTAATCTGATTTTATTCCTAGTTTTGTATGTTTGTGTTTGCCTAGTTAAATTCTGATGTTGTCCAAATTACTGTAGAATATTTTACATAGATCATTGTAGGAGCACAAATGAATTTTTTTTCCTTTCCATATGATATTTGTGAAGAAATTTAAAAAAGAGTTCTTCACAGCTTTTGTCTCATTTATTTGCCCTTCAGAATTTGTTTTTGGAAATCAAGGATGGAAAATAGGTTCAATGTGTATATGTATGTTAATATAAGACAATGACACTTATGCAGATTATTTTCTTTTTCCTTTTGTAGGACCACCTTCTGCTCCAAGGAATGTCATCTTTAATATAAATGAAACAGCTCTTATGTTGGAATGGAGTCCACCAAGTGACACAGGAGGGAGAAAAGACCTTACCTATAATGTCATTTGTAAAAAATGTGGATCTGATACCAGGCGGTGTGAGATATGTGGAGGAGGAATCCGATTTGTTCCAAGACATAGTGGGCTTATAAATTCTTCAGTGACTGTGTTTGATTTTGTGTCCCATGCGAACTACACTTTTGAAATAGAAGCCATGAATGGTGTGTCTGAATTAAGCTTTTCACCAAAACAGTTCACAGCCATCACAATTACCACAGATCAAAATGGTGAGTTTCTTCTTATTTGTGTATCAGAGCTTATAAAATGCAATATGGCTAATAATATATTTTGTGAATTATTATTAATAAATATGAAGAAAGTATACTTGTACTATTTCAGATTATTTATATTTCCATAGTCCTATTTTGGGAAAAATGATTGCAGGATACATAATAAGATTTCAAAAACAATTTATTACAACAAGCCTAACTTACCTTTATTCAAATAATGTTGATTAATGTGGTTTATTTTTCCTTGGGCAAGTCTATTTTTAACATTTTATCATGTATATAATCCAAGGAATTTTTCTAATCTATTTACTATCATAATACTAATTTGTGACTTTTAATTTAAGAGTCAACTATCAAAACTATGAGGTAAAGAAACTCTTCCTTATGTGTGCAAAACTACATTTCAGTTATTTAACACATTATTTCATGTTTCATTAATTTAATTTCACAAAAAGTACCCCTGTAGCTGGTTTGTTAAATCCAAATCTAACATTCTTTTTAAGTAGACCACAATACATTTTCACAATGTTGTATTAATAAACATCAAATTAATGAATTGTTGGGTTTTTTTTGAAGACACTGAATTTATAGATATTGCCTAGTTGGTCAAGCAATCTTCAATATGTGCATGAAAATACAAAATCTCCAATTATTTATCTGATTTAATAGCAAGAACATTCATGAAGTCACAAAATTAAAGTGATCATATGATTGAAACTCTGCTTTTTTATATGTGCATACATGTGATATACTTTATATAAAAAGATAGCAGGACTTTTCTCATGTATTTTTTGTTGCAATATTGACTTATTTTTACTATATTTATGCACACCCATTTTGGACAATAACATGTGTCACAAATATTACTACATGTACATGGGAAAGAGGTCTCTAGTTTTAAGAAGAATAACAATGAGATTTCCTTAATCTATATTTTGATGAATTTTAATATTTTTATTCTGGATTTTACCATCCATGAATCATTTTAAGTTTTACTCAGCTTGATTTTTTAACTGAAGCTTTTTGTTTTATTATTAATGGCTTAAGTTGCCTTCTTTGGATAAGGGTAGGATATAAATCAAACATTGGTATCAAAGATATGCCTATAATCTTATTCTTGGACTCCAATCCAGACTCTTCAAGACTGTGCAGGAAAAGGGAAAGGGAAAAAAATTGGTCTTCCACACATTTCAGTTTAAGTCCTGGATCAAAGCTTTTAGGTAAAGAGATCAGTAGCTCCTGCTACGGTGAAGGTAAAAAAGAACAGATCAAGATAGAACGATTTATACAATCATTTATCTCTTTTTCCTAAGATTCATAACTGGCCCTTGGCTTTTCATTATATATCTCCACATAACCAATGCTGAAATAATAGAATGCTGTTTCAAAAGTAATTAATACAAAGTTTGAATCATTTTAGTAATCCTGGAGCCACTGTTCTAGTCCTTGAAATATTCCAAGGCTTTTTATCAACTGAGTTTTAATCTACTTTACAGCTGATTCTCTACCTATTTCCAGATTTCTTGGGGCAAAAATATACCTATTGCATTGTCATTGTTAAAACCATGTTAATGAACAGCTGGCACTTATGGACTGTTGCATTTTGTGCATCATTTTTTTAAACAAACCAGAAATAGACATTCATTAAAAATGGATATTTATATAATTTATATAATTATAAATTATCAAACACTTTACATTTAGATAATTTAAAACTTTTAAATATATAGTTTTCAGCAATATCTCTTTTGTAGATCCATACAATTTGTAAACATAAAAAATGGAATTACTCTCCCTAAAAACCTTTTATGTAGGGTTACCATTTTATCACTGCATCCTTCAGTGTATCACTGCATCCTTCCCTATAAAACTTTCTGGATATGCTCAAGGACACTGGTTCATTCTATAATAAATTATACTCTATTCTATGAAGCTTTTTCAGTATAAGTACTATAAGGTAATAATTATTGTACAGATGCAGGTAATGTACTGTACATACTTAGGTTTGTATGTATCATAGATTAACAAAATAGATGTTTCTTTTTAAAAAAAATACACTAAGTACCCATGTTGATAATAGCAACAGCACTTAAACTTACAGTATATATCATCTCATAGTGCTTTACACCAGCAGCAGGGAGGGAGGGAATGAGTTTGCATGCTCAATCTAATCCCACGCATGCACAAATGAACCTTTGTGCACTTGCCCATCACTTGTGCAGCCCGGTTCTTAACAGATCATGGCCCAGTAGCAGGCTGTGGCCTGGGGGTTTGGGACCTCTGATTTACAGCACTTTCTAAGCAGTTTACAGAGTCAGTATATTGCCCCCAACAATCTGGGTCTTTATTTTATTGACATCGGAAGGATGGAAGTCTGAGTCAACCTTGAGCCAGTCAGGATCAAACTCCTGGCTGTGAGCATAGTCAGCCTGAAATACTGCATTCTAATCACTGCATTCTAATCACTGTACCACCATGGCTCTTATAAACCAACATGACTGTATAAAAAACACAGACAGTAAAAGAAACATATCTTTTATTTTCTGATACATTAAAAAAATATTTTTAATACCATGTCTGACTCTGTACATTTATCCATTCCAAAAGTCTCAACCTGAAACATCTGAAACCTTTTTGTTTCTGCCACAGCAAAAAAAAAAAAAAAACAGTGTCAAGATTTCAAATGTATATACAAGCATTACCATCATCTAAGTTACTTTGTATGTTTACTAACCTCTCTTCCTGACCTAATAATTTCTATTACATATTTTTCTATTCTTTCCCTCTGTTGAAAGCTATAAATTTTAAAACAAATTAATCTGTTCACTATCTAATATTTTAAAATAATCAGTTCCGACTTGTAAAGTTGTCTGTTGAATGCTGTAGATTTTTCATATCACGTACAAACTGATACAAACCAATTAGAATTGTTTTTGTTATTTTATTGTCTATTGGTTGCTCTATGGTGTGACTTGTTATATGGTTTAATGTCTTTTTTTATAATTGCATTTAGCTGTGCTTCTCCCTTTTGTTTATGTAATATATTTCTAAAGCTCTTCCACCTGAATTTATTCCAGAGCAGTTGAAGTATATCACCTATTGCCAAAAAAACATGATTATTTTAAAAATGCCACCCCAAAATAAAAATTTGAATGGCACTATTTCTAAATCATGACAACATATTCACGCTTGACATGTAGCCAGAGATGGCATTAGCATTCTCCCTGAGTGAACACTAACATAATGTTTTTTAAGGACTATTGTATTTAAACAGAGCAATACAAAATTGTAATTAAGACCCAAGTAAACATGAACTTTTGTGCTGGAATGGTAAACAGATATTTATTTAAATCGGGTTAACTCTGGAAAAGTAGCACTATTCACAAAATAGAATTGTGAAAATTTGACTGCTCTGGTCCCTGCTGAAAAAAACTTCAATAGAATTGAAGTACCGTATATTTTGAGCAGTAATACATTAGAGCAGACATGTCAAACTCGCAATGTCCTGTGACGTCGCGTGACATATCAGAGCTTTTTCCCCATTGCCAGTAATGGGGTGGGCGCGGTTTCATCGTGACGTGTCTGGCCCACGGGCTGGCAGTTTGACACCCCTGCATTAGAGAATAGTGGATTCAGCTTTAGAATTGTGAACTGTTACTATCATTAAATGTCAGCAAAAATAATTAGGTTAATTAAGTGACTGTTAATTGTATGATTGATTATAAATACAAACAGGTTTATTGGAAATGGATCCTAGTTTTTGTTTTGTTCTTTTAAAGACAGTATTAAGCAATGTATTTTATCCTGTGTGAGATAAGAAGCAATCCTACTTAAAAAAGAAAAGAAAGGGGGTTAAGGAAAAAACATTCTCTTCAAACCAATTTAAGAAAAGGATATTTGGGGTCAAAATAAAGTCTTCTTCCTTCCCAATCCCACCTAAAAATTGAGACTGATAGAATCATAGCTGACAATGAAAATAGCACATATACACTAACAGTTATGAACCAAGGATCACAATATAAAAAGGTGCTTGAAGATACAGTGTGTTAAGCACATGTTACCATTAAATATTTTGTGCTGTCTAGACTGAGTCACATGATTTATACAAGCAATTATTTATCCAACATTTGCCTTTCATTGCAGTTACCAAATTAAGGGATTTTTAAGCTATTCAGAAATCTGAAATGTGATTCCAAGCAAAACTGGCAAACAATGGAGCCAATTCTAATTTGGCACACTCAGAAAGAGATTTTATTTTTTGCATCTGCGTTAGTCAACAAAAAATTGGAATGGGTCAGATGACTGAATATTAGCACTGTTCGCATTTTTCAAAATCAGATTGTTTCTCTAACATTAATTAATGCTGATGTTCTCCAACTGAAGATAAATAAAAGGCTTAATATCGTTTAAAACAGTATTTCAGCATTACATGGGCTCATAAAAATGACTCGGAGAACTTTTCCTTAACTTTTTCATGAATAGTTTGAAGCGTTGTTTCTCTTTGATTTGTATTTTTGAAATCTTCCTTTAAGTTAAATTCCTTATGACTTCATATTTACATCTAGGCATTTATATAAACCCAGATTATGTCACTATTATATAAGTGATCATATATTATTAATAATTTGCCTTTCACAAGAGGAATGTAATACAGCATGTAGCTGAACTGGTATCATTATAGATCCTGCTATCTACATGCATAAAAGTACATCTCTTTTAAAATTATTATCTCCAAGAAAAAAAGATGCAAAGCATTACCTACAGTATGTGCAGATTTGGGTTGCAGTACTTTCTTCTGTTCACTGATGGTCTTGCTGAAGCAGTATGAACTAATTCCAACATTTGATTATTTAATTGCACCTGTACTGTATATTGCTATTCACAGAAACAATAAGGCAGTAACCATGGTGTTAAACAATAAATGGAAAGCATTGATAAAAATAATCTATTTAAAGTATTAACTATGATATGTAGTTCATATCATATCTGCTAGAGAG